TCTGTGATGAACACTGGAATGCTCCATGAGAGGACACTAGAACTCTCCATGACAGGGCACTAGAATGCTCTGTGATGAACACTGGAATGCTCCATGAGGGGACACTAGAACTGTCCATGACAGGGCACTACAATGGTCTGTGATGAACACTGGAATGCTCTGTTATGAACACTAGGATGCTCTGTGAGGGGGGCACTAGAACACTCTATGACAGGGCACTAGAATGCACAGCCCTGGAAGCGGGAAGGCCCCTTCTGGTGCCACACCCGCAATCTCAGCCCTGCCTTGCCAAGACAGTGAATTTCTTCCAAGTCTGCTGAGGTTGGCAGAGCGGCCAGGGCTGGGCAGGGAAAACATCAGACTAGTGTACAGGTGCCCAGAAATGAGAGGGCAGCCTTCCCAGGGCTGCAGGAAGACTTCTGGGGAAGAGGGCTGGAGTGACCCATGGACCCAGGGGGACTCCAGCTGTTGGGTGCTCCCCCACCCCCACCCAGCCTCTTCTGCCAGAGGCAATCAGCTAAATGGGCAAAGGGAGTGAGCAGTCACTTCTTAGTTAGTAAAAGCCTGTGGGAGATGCTCAACCTGATCAGTAATCCAAAAGGGTGAGCTAAGTTACAGCTGTCACTTTATACCTGCTAAATCAGGGAGTGGGAATATTCGAATTACAATATTTAATATCGGTGGCTGTGGAGAAAGTGGCACACTAGTATAGTGTGGTGCTCTAATACTTGACACCGTTGTTAGAAGGCACAGTGCCATAGAGAGGTCCATCCCTTCTGCCCCATGAGCCCACTGCTGGGAACCCATCTCCAGGTGAGTTCTGCAGGGATGTCCATCACACCATTTCTATGACCATCATCGCTGTCACAGTCGCCAGTCACTGGGACCCTGTAGTGCCAGGCAGTCTGCCTGGTGTGGCTGTCCCCCTCCTTTCAGTCACTCACTCTGCGGGATCAGGTGTCATCCTCCCAGATGGGCCCAGCTTGCTGATGAGCGGACTGAGGCACACACAAGTCCTAGAGCTGCAAATGAGCCAGACCCAGACTCAGCATCCAGGCCCAACCTTAGTCCAAAGCCTCTATTTCTTCAGCTGGGCCCTATTGCCTCGTTAATTAAATAACTAACATCTTTCAGTAACATGTGGTGCATGAGTTCATAGGGAGGGTATATAGCTGTTAGAAATAAAGGGGGAAGCACAGTTTAACCTGCACCAATATGCTTGGGGCGGAACCAGCAGGGAGGGGAGAGCGGAGGTGTGGATCAGCCTGTAAATGGGACAGCAAGTGGGACTCACACCCAGCGGGAGGTGTGGTGGCTTCAGCGAGGGAGCTGGTTTCCTGGAAGGAGAGCTGGGCTGTGCAGTCCAGACTGTCCTGGGGCCTCCCCAGAGGTGCCTTCCTTTCTGAGTCTCTGGATAACACCCACTGCCCTCAGGGATTGCTAGTCCCCCTTCCTGGGTCAGGCATGGCAACAGTCCACTTCCTGTCTGTGCCTGAAGCATGGCTGGCTTCACAGGTAGCACTGATGAAGCATTTCCTCCCATCCCCATCCTCAGTCTAGTGGGTCAGAAAGGCAGCTACGTGGATGATTACCAGCTGCCGGCCTAGGTGTCCTGTTAGGAGAGGGAAGACTGTCCAGAGGTGATTCGGAAGGAAGGCTACCAGGAGGAGGGGTTATTTGAGCTGGATCTTGAAGGATGAGTAGGAACTCGTCATGCAGCCAGAACTGGGTTTGAGTGGGTGAGGCATGTAAGAAAGGCCTAGGTAAGTGGGCAAGCAGGGCAAAGGGCAGGCCAGGCTGAGGGAGCTGCAGTCACTGGTGTAACAGGAGAGCTTACACACACATACACACAATAACTCATGCACACAATCACAGGTGCAATGCAAGAACTGAGGGCCATAGAAACCATGTGTTCCAGTCAGAAGTTAGGATCTGTGGTATAAGAATTACAAGTGTGATTACATGTGAACCCAGAAGTGTTCCTCCAGAGTCCAGGATGGCCCCTCCTAGTGACCACTGCAGCAGTGCCCTTGACACTGGCCAGGGAGAGAAGAGGGGCTTTCCTTGGGACAGAGGAGGGAGGGAGAGGGAACAAGGAGGGGAGGGGGAGGCATGTGAAGGGGCCAGAACCTCCGTCATCCCTGTGAAGGGCAGCACCAGTCCTGCAGAGCACTGGCAGGGGGATCTGCTGGGGAGATGAGGGAGCCTGCAGGGCAGAGGGACTCCCGGGCACTCAGAAAAGGCCCTGCCGGGAAGCCACCAACACGTCCTAGCCAACAGCTGAAGCAGAAGGCCTTGCAGTCCCATCTACCCTGCCAGTTTTTTAATCCCAGGAGCTGGTCCCGGGGAAGCAGCTTTGGGGGATCTGGACAGTGAGGCTGGGCACCTCCAGAGGGGCTTCATAGAAACCAGGGAGGAGATCTGGATGGAGCCAGTCCTCAGGGCCTGAGTAACAGCAGCTCTGCTAGGATGTGGGTGCTACCTGTTTCTTATTTCAGGGCTTTATCCCAGTACCTGGCACAGTGCCTGACACAGAGTGCCAGTGGCCTTCCAGTCGACTCCGACACCTGGTGACCCCGTGTGTGTCAGAGTGAAACTGTGCTTTGTAGGGTTTTCAATGGCTGATTATTCAGAAGTGATCACCAGGCCTTTCTTCCAAAGCATCTCTGGGTGAACTTGAACCTCCAACTGTTTGGTTAGCAGTGAGCATGTTAACCATTTGTACTACCCGGGGACTCCTGGCACATAGTAGTTACTCTGTAAATATTTGGTGAGTGAATAAATGAACGAATTCTTGAATGAATGAAGTAACGGATAGATAGTTGAACATACCTGGGAAGTGGATAGCATGGCATCCCAGAGACAGAGCAGAAGATAACAGATAGGTGGCTGTGCACCTGCCCAGGTGGTAGACTCAGCTGCTGCTCCAGCTCCTGCAGTGCTGATGTTGCTGCCTCAGTGGCTGCAAGCTGCAGCCCACAGGCACAGGTCACCAGGTGGCCCTCCAGACCCCAGGGGGCGGCAGTGAGAAGGCCAGCTGTACTCTGGTCACAGGGCAGCCGGGATGCTGCCGGCTTTCACACCCACTGTGTCTGTTCTTGGTTCCAGCCCGCTCCAAAAGCCTGGTGATTGGGGAGCAGAACCAGAGCCCGGGGCGGTCGCCTGGACCCCGCAGGCTGGGCCCCGTGCTGAAGGCGGGCTGGCTGAAGAAGAGGAGCATCATGAAGAACTGGAAGCCGCGGTGGTTCGTGCTCCGTGGGGACCAGCTCTTGTACTACAAGGATAAAGAGGAGACCAAACCCCAGGTGAGTGGTGTGGGCTTCAGGTGCGGCTGGATGATGCTTGGGGAGGAGGAGGCAGAGAGACCCTCGCTGCCGGACTCCCGCCTCTCAAGCACCCGAGCCATTGATTTGAGTCAGAGTGATATTTCCACAGAATTTCCGAAGTAATTTCTATTCTGGGCTCCCATGTTCCTGATGCGACAGCTGAGTTTGCTGAAACACATCTGCAGCTTGAGAAATGAAAATGCTCCCTTGTAAAGTTGGTAGAGAGCATCTCTGCAAAGGTTAAGAAAACAAGGCTCCCCCGTGCTCTTTTCTGCCCCTCTGTGCTTCCAAGGAGGACACATGCAGACCCATCGTGTTAATTCCTTCCTCTAGTAAAGGCAGTGCCCAGACAGAGCTAGCCTCCAGCTGAGATACTGGCTAACGGTGGAGCCCTCTGCCTCTCAGTGGCTGCCTGTTTCCCGCCAGCACTATAAGGTCCACCTTGGATGCTGAAAAGGCCTGCCTTACCATCCGGACTGCTCCATCCCACCAGGGGTGGCCAGGCCCATGTCACAGGGATGCTCATCTTCCTGCCATCCAGGACCCCGCACTCGGAGACTAGTCACTGTAGTCTTTGTCATCGTTTTGAGAGAAAGCAAGATACCTCAGAGCTACCCACGCTTCTCTTGGAGAAGTGGGGGAAAGGGGCTTCAGTGACTTGTCCACAGGAGGCTCCCAGTCATTGTCTGAATCAGAAGGAGAAGCCAGTCTCCTTGTCCAGGGTCGGGGGTAGGGGCCCTGGGCATCTCTGCAGCTCCCACCACGTGGGAGGTACCCTGGAGTGGGGGACAGAAAGGGGGTGCTTAGTGATGAGCAAGTGTGAGGGGGTACATGGCTGCAGGGTGGGGTAACATCAACTTCAGAGGAGGAAATGACCCTTTCCACTCATCTTTGAAGTCTCCCGAGTGTATCTAGGGTGTAGTCTCAGTTCGGTGCTAGGGTATCTCTAACGCTTACTCCGCCAACACTCGTGGTCCTCCCATTTAAACAAATTAGGGGAGGGGCAAGTCTCAGCTCCGAGCCTTAAGTAGCAACAAGAGCTAGCTGGAATTTCGTGATTTGCTGTTTTCACTCTGTTCGTTCTAATGGTTCCCTTCTGCCTTTGTTACCTACTGCTGCTGTAAAAAGAAATAACATGAGGGTGGCTTTAAAGAACAAAAAATTATTTTCTCACTTCTGGAGGCTAGATGTCCAGATCAAGGGCTTCGCAGCGTCGATTCCTTCCTTGTTGGGAGCCCTGGGTGTCCTGGTTCCTCGGCTTGTAGATGATCTTCACGTATCTCTCTCCCTGATGGACATGTCATCAGGAGGGATCAGTCACTAAAGGAGGACAGCGTGTCTGGGGAAGGGAAGAGCCAAGGAGGGTGGGGAGATGCCCTCATGTGTACATGTCTCTGTGTCCATTCTACTCTCGTTATAACTCCGAAGTGATTGGATTTAGAACCCGCACTCGCCAGGCATGATCTAATTCACATAACAAAGAAAAGACTGTTTCCAAACATAATTACATCCACAGGTATAGGGGTTAGAATTCCAACACATAATTTGGGAAGAACACAATTTAATCCATAACACCTCTGTTTATGGAAAGTAATACTGGTTTCTATTCATGATAGTGATCTCCTGTTTTCCTTTCTAAAATATATTTAAGTTAAAAACGAAAAATGAGACTGTTTAAGGAAAACTTTGCCATAAGTAATAGTGCAGATGAAAGGTGGTTATGAGAAAAATCAGGAAGGTGGATCTTGAAAAATGCAAATTTAGGAAATGCTGATCTTGTCCAGCCTCCTCAGTTTTATAAGGAATGGAAGCAACCCCCAGAAAGTTTAAGTGGAACAGTTACGAACTATGGGGTCAGATAGATCAGAACTTAACTTCTGGCTCACCATGCTAGCTGTATGACTTCGGGCGTGTCACTTATTTATTTTTTATGTTAGGTTTTATTATGGAGACAATATTACCTACATCACAGGCATGCTAAGGATTAGATTCTGCACCATATACATAACCAAGCCCAATTCATAGCACATTACAAAAACCAAAACCAAACCCACCGCCATCAAGTCGATTCCAACTCACAGTGACCCTATAGGGCAGAGTAGAACTGCTCCAGAGGGTTTCCAAGGCTGTAAATCTGTACAGAAGCAGACTGCCACATCTTTCTCCTGCAGAGTGGCTGGTGGGTTCGAACTGCTGATCTTTTGGTTAGCAGTCAAGCATTGTAACCACTGTGCTACCAGGGCTCCTTCCCTAGTGCATTAGGTACTTAAATATGAGCCCTCTTTCTCCGTCAGCCTCACCTTTGCCTTGGTCTCATCTGGCCTCGCTCCTAAGCCTACTCCCCAGGCCTAGGGCCACACCTCCAGGCTTGCTGACTGCTATTTCACTTTTGCACTGAAGACCAGCCCTGGCCCCTCAACAGCGTCCTACCTCCCTGGTTGACCTGTCGGTGACCAGTCACTCTGAAGACTGTGACCAAAATTGCCAGGGTCCCCAGTCTTTCAGAGCCCTGCCTATGGCCCCTCTGTCACGCCCCTCCTGTCGCAGCCCCTAGTGTTATCTCTTAGGATAATTGCATGGTTTCCCACCATATTCCTCACGGTGGGCCCTATGTGGTCCATGCATTCCCTACCCATCAGCTATAGCTCCATAAGGAACCTCCATATCCCAGAACTCCTGAACTGACTCTCCCCCCACCTGCCACCTTTTCCAGACCTCCAGTGGCTTCTGGTAGAAGCAGCTAATAAAATGGAGGCATCAGCATGCCCAGTCACCAGTCTGGACACAAGGGCAGCCTTCAGGTCCAAGCCAAACTAGACCAGTGCACTAAACAAGGGGCAGAACGGGTAAGGATCAGCATAAATGCAATTCCCTAAGTATGGAAATGGATCCAGCCCTCACCTTCCCACTTCTCCATCCTTGTCACTAGTCACCCAAGCAGCATTCTCTCTCTGAGCCTTGCCAACCAGAGGTGGGTCAGAACTTACAAGTTATATGGACACCATCTTTTGGACTGCCAAATGGGCAGAACCTGCCCCTGCTGGCTCTCACTGCCCCTGTGGGTTTGTTAATGCACTGGAACAACTCACAGAACTCATGGAGAATACACTGTACTTACAGCTATGGATTTCTTACAACCCAAAAGGAAACAAATGAAGAGACATACAGGATGAGGTCTGGGAGGGTCCCTGACATGAAGCTTCCATGTCCCAAATAGGGATGAGCTACTATCTCCATGCGTGATCACCAACCAGAAAGCTCATCTGAGCCTTAGGGTTCAGGGATGTTATTATCCTAACCACCACAGCCATGATAAATTACATCATGCTTCCTGAGGCTTAGCCAGCACTGGGCCCCAGGTAGTCCCTTCTAGTCTGGTCAGCCCCCACTCATTAGCCTCAGGTGTTGGTTTGGCTAGGAAGAACCAAGAACCAAGACCAAATTGCTTTCTGCAAGATAATTCCACCAGCGCTTCAAACCATTCAGACAGGTTCAGTCATGGCTGACAAAGCCAAACCAGAACAGAGCCAAAGTTTTACAGTTTGGGTGATCCATAACAATAACCAGAGTGGGAAAAATTACGGGCCAAAGACCTGAAATGGGAGACTTGCAAGAGGCATAGTGAGCCCTTTCAGGAGCCTGATGAGTGAGATTGGATTATTGGCAGGATTGTGGAGAGCTACACACGTTCAAAGTGGCAGAGTCAGCCACCATCTTTGAGCGAGGCTCAAAATCCCATGGGCAAGAGATCTGGTTGCTGTGCAACAGGTATACTGCCCTTGTTTTCTAAGAGGGAGATTAGGTTTCTAGCAGGGCTTTGATGTGTAATTTTTCCAGTTCCAGTTATCATTCTGGTTCAGCCAAATTTTAAAAATTTGGGTCTGTTCTGGTTTCGCTTCATCGGCCATGACTGAACCAGGAAGGACAGGTTCGAAGCCCTGAATTCCACGTCTTACACAGGGCATTCATTACCAGGGAGCACATAAGATCCCTGGGAAGGAGGCAGCATCTTCAGCAGAAATCAGAGCACTCTCTGGGGCCTGGCTGGCACTCCAGACACTTCTGGGACATAATGAGCAGAGACTCGAGCCTCCAGTTATTCTTTCCTTCCCGCAGTTCCCCCTCCCCAACAAAGCCTGACTCCTATGGCAGCCCCATTGCACAGGTTCCCAATTTCAAGGCCACTATTTGTCAAATTTGACTTATTTAGTTTTTGCAGTATGATCTCAAACCTGCATGTCTGCTGGCAAAATAGCCCCACAAATTTATGTTTAATTACATCTAACTACATGCAATGACTAATTCTCAATGTCCGGTTCCTGGAAAAATGTGTCCTGCTCACTGTTTACAGTGACAGAAGTGCCCACATAGTCAGCAACCCCTGTCAGGAGGCCTGCATTAGCAGCTGGAATTGTCTGGAGAAAGGCGTCCAGCTACTCTTGATGCTGTCCAGAGCTACTATCACATGATGATTGCTCTCAGCTTACATTCCTGGTCCTCTCTCCAAAGCCCTTATCTCTTCCCCTGCCCCTGTCACTGGCAAGAGGGTCATCAGAGGACACAGAGCATAGAGATAAAGAAAAGCTGAAACGCAGAAATAGCAAGTGGCTCGCATAAGCCCAGATGGAATAACTAGGCAACAGCACTTTAAAACAGAGCCTGAAAGTGGACCCTTCTCCCTCAACTTTTCCTAACAAATGTCAGGGGTAGTTTCCAACAGACAGACCCTTCAGTTTCATTAATAGAGGATTCCAGATTTTTTTCACCTTGATGGTTTTAGCTTCTGCTTGAAATGCTTATTGAGCCATGATAACTCCTGCCACACTTCTTGTTGGTCGGCCTGGTCCTTCGACCTTCAGTCTTTAATTATTCCAGTCCTGTCTTCTGGGTTCCTCGGCTTTGAATAGAAATAGAAAGTATAACTTCAAAAACATAAGAGGGAAAAAATGTAACAAGTTAAATATGATCAATCCAACAAA